ATCGAGTGGCCTTTGCCAGACGATGGCCGAGTAAGCTATATTTCCTTTTTTATGTTAATTCATCTTTTTGATGAAAGTTTCGTCACAAAATATTTATTGCACTAGTCGCATATTTGTCCAGGTCCAGCACCTCAGCGACCGGCTACTGGACTTGCAATCTTATTGGAAACCTGTTTATGAGTCGCAAACCTTTTGCAACAGGGCAAAGGTGCGTTCTATGATTTGAGCATCTTTGGAGATCTCCTTCATAACAAAATGTTGTTCTGAACGCTCTGTGTAGGGAGTGTCGTCGACAATTACTTCGGAAAAATTGTAACTGCCCATTGTACCCTCCCCCCAAAACCTCCCCTCGGGGTCACAGATAACGTCACTGCTTCTTTTCCGCATTCTTCACCGCTACAGGGAGTGAGAAGAGGATTGACATACCATTGAAATCATTTCCCCCATTCACCCACACGGCAGTTCCGAGCAATTCTATTGGCATCACCCCACTGATTTCGTGTAGAGCAGTTTTGGATCGTTCGTATTCACGACAACCACAGTTTCCAGATTTCATGGGTTGCTCCGTTGGCTTCACAGTTGTTCTTGAGGTCAAGGGCACCAGTCGTACTTTAATGATAGCCACTGTTGTTGCTTTCAGAGCGGTCCATCAAAATACATTCTCTCTATGTTCCCCTATCCATCCGGCAACCTGCACATGGGCCACATGCGAGTCTACACGATCTCAGATGTCACCGCAAGATATTTCCGGTTGAACGGGTTCAATGTGAGTAATGCGCCATGCAATTCAATAAAGCAGAATTTATTGTCTGATTTATAGGTAATTCATCCAATTGGATGGGATGCTTTTGGATTGCCAGCAGAGAACGCAGCTCGGGAACGTGGCGTCGATCCACGGCAATGGACGTTATCGTGGGTTAAGTCAGGTCGTTTTTCGGAGTAGATGACATTTTCCGGTTAGAAGTTGTCAGCATTAGCGTTGGTTGAGATGCATATGTACTTCAGGCGGTGTGCATAAAACTGGCTGCAGTAGGGCGGGTAAAAAAAGGGTAGGCTTTAGCCCAGCGGCGGCCCCACTTTCCACCGATCGTTACGAGCCGGACAAAACTGTTATTGGCGGTCGCTACGGGCTTCCAGTACACGTCTCTGACAGCCGCGCCA